CACCCACCCATCGTCACAATAGTGATCTTCGTCACTATTGGCTCTAGATGGCCAGTATCGTGCGTCTGAACCCAGAAACATGAAGGAAGTCACCATAGTTTTCCATTTTCTTTTTAAAATCCTTCCCGACGGCACGCTGGAAAGAAGTAAAGTTGTCTGTAAGCGCTGCAACGCTAATATGTCTGACCACCGAAGTAGTTCCTGCCTGAAATATGACTTGAATTCAAAACRCACCGTAACAAACAGAGGAGGGTCTTGCCCATGAGGCTAATCAAGACGTGAGAGAAAAATAGACAAACGCAGGACAGGGTTTTATTTATACAAAACAGTAACTTGAAAATGCTTCAAACATCTTTGAGTCATGATTTTATTTTGTGTATAATAATGTGATTAATCGTGATTAATCTCAAATATTCATCATCTCAAAAATATCTTGAGATTAATAGCGATTAAAAGTCTTTAATCTATGCTCAGCACTGCTTATGCCTCAAGTTGTCTTACTTACAGTTCAAAATAAAAGTAAAATTGTCCTGTAAACTGTTGTTGAGATAAAATGTGGATCCACCCTTTTTTCTCTAAGGGTTTGGTTGGTGAATCATGGTTCCCACGGATCCTTAAAAAGTCTTAAAAACCATTGAATTCACCAAACCAAAAACAAGACCTTAATTAGTCTTAAAATGTCTTAAACCAATCTTTCTGAGGTCTTTAAAATGTTAACACATTGTAGGATCATTGTAATTTGTCTAAGATATTAAAATAATTAGTGACACTTCTTTTTTCGTTTTAAATAATTTACCGAAATCTTCTCGCAGTTTTTTTGTTCTTTTAAACATTTGGGTAAAATTATCGCCAACTGTTTTTTTCCCCCATTTTTGTTTTTGTATAGCAAATTTGTTCTTATTTTTTATTTCAAGCGGCATCAAAAAAGTCTTAAAAGATCTTAAGTTTAACTTGCATTAAGCTGTAACCTTTGAATAATCTTTCTCACTGTAGCAGGATGGACATAGTGTTTTGGAAAAACCCTACCCAGATTATTGCTGATGTCTTTTTGTCTTGGTGTTGTGTTAACAGTTTTGCTCATACCTGTCCTCCTATTTTATATGGCTGTTTCCGTATTTTAGTTTAGTTTTTTTTCATTTGTTCATTTCACTTAAAAACAAAACAAATGCTATACATACAACAAATACTAATACAACACAAATAAAATGAAAGTTAGCAGAAAGAAGAAAAAATTCTTATTGATATTGGCCCCTTTTTCAAAAACAAATAAATTGAAACAATAATAGTCTTCAAATAACAAAACATAACAAAAATTTTAACTCCTTCTCGAACAACAGTTCTTATGAATGCACATTATACAAATTCATATCTCCTCAACAATCTAACTTTCATCATTCTCCTAAACAAAGTTATTGAGTCAGCATTTTTATAATCACTTTCCAGATTGTTCMACAATCTTATTCCTTGGACCGAAGTACATCGGTCCTTCAAATTTGTTCGAATTTTGGGCTTTACAAACATCTCTATACCCTTAAGGTTGTAATTACTTACTCTCTTAACAAAATTWAATTGAATATTTAGAGGTRATAAATTTTTATGAGCTTTATAYATAAYCTGCAAAATATTATGATCAACCAACTCATAAAATTTCAATAATTTCAATGGAAAAAGTAATATATTTGATGGATTTGTTGACTACATAATGTTATAATATAGGAAGTCATTTGATGTTCAGTTGTGTTTTTTTATTGGCAAAGTTTAGGACCTGAAAAAAGTAGCAGTGCATTTTCCTTAATTTTAGGAGATTGGAGATCGGCATTTTAGGGTATTATTCAATGTTTTTCAATAAAATAAAGTTGTGTCTCTGAAAGTGTGTTGTGATCTTATAACACCTGACAGTGTCAGGTATTTAAAATATCTGTATCAGCCAAAATCGGAATCGGCAGGTCAGATTTTTTCAGTATCAGTGATCAGTGATCGGCCAGAAAATGGCAGTCAAAGCAGCCCTAGATAAAAATATATATTTTTGTTTAACCTCAGAATTTAGATAGATTTATGTCTTTTCTTTTACTTTTTGCAGRAGATATACTCGTTACTTTGGGATCAAAGGGGATGCTTCTCCTTCACTGAGTCATTATGCACTAACACACTACAAACAGTGGGAGAGCAGCATCGAGGAGTGGCAGAAACCCATATTACAGGACAGGTACAGTCGTTCGCAGCTCCRAGTAAAGCTCCGTTTCGACTTCGCTCAACCCGTTCTTCCCTCGCAGCTCTCTCCCATCCTGGTACAAGTCGGCTCTGTTCAACGAGCTGTACTTTGTGGCGGACGGAGGAACCGTGTGGGTGGACCTGTCAAAGGACGATGACGTCAGCGGCGGCGTGCGCAGCGAGGACGGGGGTCTGCCCGCTCAGCCTGCTGTCGTCAAGGAGTACGGACGTTTCGCTTACCTAGAAGGTATGAAAAAAAAAGGTGGTAGTTCAATCTCAAGAAACTATTCAAAATAAATTTTTGTTTATTTTCTTTCCAGGTCAAGAGTACAGAATGTACAACACATACGATGTGCACTTCTACGCCTCYTTTGCTCTTATCATGCTGTGGCCCAAACTAGCCCTGAGTGTGCAATATGACATTGGTGAGTAAATCTTAGCGTCTTTTTTTGTTTGTCACGTTAACAAAGAGTCGTACCAGAAAAGCAGGTTTCACATCTTTCATCTCTTCTCAGCTGGCAGTGTGGTTCAGCAAGACCTGACAGAGAGGCTMCATCTGATGAGCGGGCTGCGCTCTCCTGTTAAAACCAAAAATGTGGTGCCTCATGACGTAGGAGACCCAGGTAAGAGAAGGGTGATCTCTGAGGCCAGTGGAACTTTTAAAAGTTAATATTTCATCCATTTGAAAGAAATAATCTCCATCTGGAAATGGAAATGCCTTCAAAAATGTAAAAATACCCATGTTGTGCCAGTAGGTGGCGATAATGTCAACATTGAAGCTTTTTTTTWAAATTATTCACCATTTTCTCTCAGTAACTAAATTATTTAGTACTGGACAGATGTTTAAGGGCAGAGTGTAGATTTTTTTAGGCGGTGTTGAATGAAAAGTTTATGAACTAGCGCTCAAACAGAGTACGAGTACACGAGTACCAGTGCCGTGTGTTTACAGAGTTMGAATTTAAACAATACGTAATGACTTTACAAACACATTTAGTTTATTTAGAACAACTTGTATACATTTCTCAAACATGGAACTGACAACCTTTGAGCTTGACATGCAAACTGTAACACATTCAATGGAGTATCGGTACAAGTATCAATACAGGTATTGGTATCAGTCCTGAGTATCGGGTCATTTTGTAGGAGTACTTGTAAAACTGCTGGTATCGGGAAACAACTATTATGAACAATCATTATTTTACCATTTTATTCACCTTCATTTAGAGAAACAGTTCTGAGTGAAGCCAAAAATAACTTAAACTAGCTTTAACAATCCCTTCATAAAACCAATAGTCACAATGTGTGAAGTGTGGTGATTTGTAAATGTTGTGGAAAGTTTAATCAGGGTTACCAGTGAGTTCACAGCTGTTTGCCACAACACARCTCCAGAGGGATCATCAGCTACACCAGATGTCCCAGGTGTGCCCCTTTCAGCAGTTCACTATAGGCACCATGTAAGCTAGCCTCCCGGGGCACCGTACRCTTTATAATGTAAACAACATATAGAGGAGAAGAGCAAACAACTGGATCTGGTCTGAGATTAGAAGTAGAGATTTTGTTGACTGTCCTTTACGATTGAGGACAGGATTGTGAAGGAGTTTGGATGTAAATTTAAGCCCGTTTGCAGATTTATGTGAGGTTTACATCATATCTCACCAGGATGACTGCCGGATTGTTCCACATTATCTGACCTTTAGATTATTGTCTGGTTGGCGTTTGAACATTTTTGATCATTGCTGATCGTGTGTTTGTAGACGACGAGCCCTGGCAGAGAGTGAATGCCTACCTCATCCACGACACTGCAGACTGGAAGGACCTGAACCTGAAGTTTGTCCTGCAGGTCTACAGGGACTTCCATCTGACTCTGGACAGACAGTACCTGCAGGACATGTGGCCCATCTGTCAGGTAGGACAGATTTACTCTACCTCTTTGGACAGAACAGTCTAGAATAACATCTCCAGAAGCTTCTTTTTTATTATTATTTTGAAATGCTGGAGGTCATGGGTGTCAAACTCATTTTCACTGAGGGCCACATGAGCGTTATGGTGGCCCTCGAAGGGCCAGTTGTAATGAAC